GCGAAACAGCTGTGACTCCCCCTGCCGGGGCCCTGAGAGCACCTGTCCTACTCGCAGGGAGCCCAGAAACTCGTGGTAAATCCTTCACAGATGAGCCTTTCAGTTTTAAAATGCGTTTGGCTGGATTAACACTAATCTACTTAAGCTCTGGTTTTCCTTGTGGTGGGTGGAAGCATATGACAGAACGACCAAAGTTAGGAATGCTGTCGATCATGGAACGAGATTGTCCCAGGAGCACATTCAGTCCCTGTGGAAGCAAATCACGTCTCTTCCCTCTGCCCTCTAACCTGTAAGTCACCTTCCTCATCCCTGTCCTTGGGCATACTTGTTCCTCTTCCTGCCATAGTCACTCAACAATCATTCCTCTCCTCACCATATCTAGCTACTTCATCACGCCTCCTAATGAGTCTGTTTTCCATGACTCTCTCTCTCCCTGAGGTTCATTGCTGTTGGGCCCACAGTTCCTTCACAATTACACAAGCTGTCCCCATACTGATTTCCCTGTTGTCACTAGGCACCCACGGAAGGAACACTTACCCGTGGATGACCCTCCCTTCCAGTCCTGCCTTTCTCCTGGGCTAGTTTGGACAAGTAGCATTTGTTACATACCACCGTACCCAAAACAGGAGACTGGGTTGGACCCAAGACAATAGTAATTGTTGTTACAGCTGCCATCGGATAGGCTCTGTGTGGACGTGTCGTGTAGACCAAGTTGTTTATGCATGTGGGCTCACTCCGTCTTCCCAACAACACTCCAAGATCCCTTGAGTCGGTAGTCATTCCACAATGTATGTACAGTAATTCATCACACTGTACACTTAAACATATATGGTTTTATTTGTCAATTATACGTTAATAAAACGGGGGGGCAGGAAAGGAAAGAAATGAATAGTTGGATAAAGAAAAGGCAAACTTACTAATATTCAAAATAAAATTGGTGCAGATAAGCTCATGGGACTTAATTATTTAACCAATGTGCACAGGCAATCTGAGGCACAGAGAGGTTAAGTTGCCAGCAATTGCACAGCTAAACAGGTCCTGGCTGGCCATGAACCCAGATCCAGCTCTGAAATCCAGGCTCCAATTCACCGTGCTGCTCTCTTCCTTTGGTGAGAGTCCGCTTCTAGAATCCAGGCCTTTTCAAACTGTGCTGAAGTCTCAGACATGAACTGCTAATATAAATCCTCCTATCCTCTCCTCCCTTGCCTCTTTGACAGTGATTTTTTTTCTATATATTCCAGTTTCTTTCCTGAATGTGGAGAATTTTAATTTTAATTTTTCAAGTGTAATTTTAATACACATCCTAAGATAGTACATTACTATTATGAAAAGTGTACCACTTGGAGACTTCAAGTAGCTTTCTAGAATAACTTGTAATTATAATGAATTGTGTTGATGCAATGTATATTTTTACTGTGTATAATTTAACAAGTATGTGATGACTATCTAATTACAGTCTATAGTTCACAAAGTAATAGTTTACAATATTTACTTGGTAGAGGTTATTGTTTCACATGAGGTTTTTTTTTTAAGATTTTATTTATTTATTTGAGAGACAGAGATCACAACTAGGCAGAGAAGCAGGCAGAGAGAGAGGAGGAAGCAGACTCCCTGCTGAGCAGAGAGCCCGATGCGGGGCTCGATCCCAGGACTCTGGAATCATGACCTGAGCCGAAGGCAGAGGCTTTAACCCACTGAGCCACCCAGGTACCCCATGAGGTGCTTGTTTTACGTCTGCCTGCAAGTGGTGTATTACTACAAAATGTGCATACAAATAAAGCCTTACTACAGAGATAGACCCCAGAAGCATCATCTGTTTTAGAAGCACATTTCTAAAAATTTTCAGAAAAATTACATTCCTTAAACCAATCAAGCTAAACAAATTCATTAAAATACTTTTTGTCGGGACGCCTGGGTGGCTCAGTGTGTTAAAGCCTCTGCCTTCGGCTCAGGTCATGGTCCTGGGGTCCTGGGATCGAGCCCCGCATCAGGCTCTCTGCTTGGCGGGGAGCCTGCTTCTTCCTCTCTCTCTGCCTGCCTCTCTGCCTACTTGTGATCTCTCTTTCTATCAAATAAATAAATAAATAAATCTTTAAAAAATATATTTTTTGTCCTTTCAAATATCATAAGAATTATTCTGATGATACTCATAAGAGAAAATCTGTTATTCAAGAATAGAGAAGGGGGAAGAAAAGGAGTAGATCTGCAAAACACACGGAGGACCTTCCTATACCATTGCATCCTTCCAGAACTAAGTCAAAGAATAGACATGGTAAGAAAGGGAACCCTATTGGCTCTACCTTCAGACTGTATCCTGAGTTGATCCACTTCCCACCACCTCTCTTGGCACCCTCTTGGTCCAAACCATCATCATCTGTCACCTGGATTCCTGAAATAGCCTCCTAGCTGGGAGGCTGACCCCACTCCCAAAGGGCAATATGGCCCCCAGCCTCTCCTGCCTACCTATACCCCCATGCTGTGATCTGTGTGTTTGTGCAGCTGTGTCTCCCTTTGTGCCAGCACCACTCCTGACACACGCTCCACACAGGCCCTCTGGGACAGGGAGTTCAGTGTAATAACCCCATCCCCAGCCCCCACCCAGGAGGACCCTCCTCCCACCAGCTCCCCACAACGCCCACCAGCACCTCTAGAGAGTTTACTACAAAAATAAAAGAACAGTAACAGAAAGGAGGGGGAAAAGGTGCTTCTACCTTTGCTCGACTTCAATCTCTTGGCAGGAGAGCAGCCAGAAAGACCCTGTTCTAAACATTGTCAGACCAGGTGTCCTCTGTTCAGAGCCCTCCAGTGGTTTCCATTTTCCTGAGAGGAAAATCTGAAGTTGTTACAATGACCAATAAAGCCTTACCCACTCTGGCCCCTAAGTGTCTCTGTGACTTCATCCCCTACTCCTCTTCCTCTGCTCCTGCCATACTGACCTTTTTGCTCTTCCTCAAAGACAGGAGCGACCACCTGTCCCTCTCTCTGGAGAGTCACGTAGTTACCTCCCTCACCTCCGCCAGTAGTCTTTGCCCAAACATCACCTTCTCAGTGAGACCTCCCTGGACCATTCAGACTTAATAGCAGCTCTCTCCTCTAACCAAATCCCAGATTGCCCAATCTGCTTTACTCTGCTTTCTTCCCCACCCCATAGTACTTAACCCACCTTTCCCCATACTCTACAATTTACTTGTTTACTGTATTTATTGGTTGCCTTCCCCATTGTCCTATTCAAGAGGGCAGGGTCTTTATTGTCTTTTATTCATGGATGTATCACTGAAAACTCTAATTGTGCCGGGCATGTAGTAGCCACTCAAGTATTTGGTTTGCTGAGATTACTTGGGTATTTGTCTTTGTACTTCACTCTTGCTTTGCCTCACCAAAACGGCCATGACGAAATCCTTGGCCTCCTTGAAATCTTGGATAATTTAAAATGCCATGCATTAAAAAAGAGCCTAAAAAGTGATTTTTTAAATTACAGCCATATTCTTCAGGGTTCTGACATTAATATTGAAATATCCATCATGACATCTTTAAAGGCTCTCTGCCGTACTAAATCCTAAAAATAATTTATCATGTCAGGGACAAAATTAATTAAATTATTCTCTATTCTTGAATCAAGAACTCAACAGATTTGCTGTTTTTTCTCATTTTGGTGTGCTGACATCTATAAGTGGAGCTTTGATTTCATGATGAACTTTTAAGAGCTATTGCTAACTGCTCTATGCAAAATTTTTTCAGGCAGAACAGCTGTGATTTCAGCAAGCAGCTATGGGGTCACCAATATCTGATGGTCGTTAAATATAATTGTTAAAGCGTAATGAGTCTTCTACTCTTGGAATCATATTCTCTCTAGAGTAAGAATTTCCTCAAAGGATGTGAGATCACCGACAAGTAATGCTACTTTTTTTCTATCAACAAATATATCATAGTATAACAAGATTTATATGGAAGGGCTGACTGCTTCATAAATACTTGAACATCTTAATGTTGTTATGCTGAGAGGAAAAAAATTAAGAAAAAGCAAGAAATACTTTGAGCCATCATCTATGAGGATTTAAAAATGGAGAAACTGACTGAGGGTATCTGTGAACTCAATCACTTGAAATGAATGTAGTCGCCAACAAGGCAGGTTTGCATGACATTAAATGTCATTATGAAGCCTATGTACCATGACATCGGGGTGTATTTAGCTATATGTGGACATAAATTTGTTCTCATAACCATTAACGTAGTGGAAAAATAACTAATAAAATTAACTCTTAATATAGTACTATCTACCAGGTGCTATTCATATAGTAAGAATTCAATCACCCCAGTGACCCTATGAGGTAGGCACCATGATGATCCCCATTTTACAAGTGAGGAAAGGTGCAGCTGAGGCTTACTAGCCTGAGGTCACCTCAAATAAGTAGCAGAGCCAGAATTTGGGCAACCCAGATGATTGGGCTCTAGATGACAATGCTACATTTTATTGCCCCATTATAATGGGCAGATTAGCCATTACTAGCTACATTCATTGTTCAATTCATAATATTTTACGAGGGTCTATTTGTAGTAAACCAATGTTTGCCCTCAAAAATGGGTTAGGGAAAGAATACTCAAAGTGCATAATCCTGACTTGGAAAAATTGTGCCTTTTAAATGTGATCTACCATCCCAAAGCCTTAAAATAACTTTCAAGAGTGACTCAGTCTGTGCTTAATCAAAATATTGCTAATGATGAAACAGCAAAACCTCAGAAGTTTTAATTACCAATCACCTAATGGAAGGCACGCCCTGCTCATTAAATCTCTCAACGTGGAGCTAGGAGCGTAGGCTCTGGCACATTTCTCTGCAGGACACAGGGATTAAAGGTCGTGTGAGCTCCATGCGCTTCTGGACCTAGAACTTAAATGTTAAGAGGTATCACTTTGAAGAAAATTGCTTAATATTTTATAGGGAAGTGACTTTACCAGTAAAAACCTTTAAGAAGAGTTGATGTGATTCTTAAAATCAACTTAGATGCTCCCACTTTGGATAGCTGCTCTCTTACTCTTCGGCACATCAACAGGTAAGACTCCTCATTTCTTAGTTCCTTGAAAATGGGGGGTATCGTCGCATCCAAAATGTGACTGACATGGGCTTTGAAATACCGGCTTTCTTTATATTTTCATTTACTTGTCATAAGGGAAATGCATCAACTTAGTAATACTAAGTCTGATGAGTATGTAAGCATCTATTTCCAATAAGATAAAAGTTGCTGGGTGGTCTCCTACTTGGGCTCGCAGCTCTGCACTTACCAGCCTTATGGACTTGGTCGAGTAACTTATCTGTTAAAGTCTTAATTTCTTCACTTCTAAGAAAGGTATAGAGCAGTAAATGAAAAAATACATTCATATTTTTAATTTCAGTACCTGATTCACTGTACATGCTGAATGAATGAATGAATGAATGAATGAATGAATAATTAATGCTGATTAGAACTTCCAGGTTGATTTTTTTGTATTTGGATCATGATTTTGGGAAGGGCTTTTGGTCTGTGAACATTTCTTACACACTAATTCCACACTCATGTCTTGTGCTTTTCCTGTCCTTACGTATCTCCCATGTACTAGTTGGTTTTTCTCTGTTTTTACTTCCTTTTACTTTGTTTTGGATTTTTGTTAGTTTGTTTGTTTTAATTTTTTTTAAAGATTTTGTTTATTTGACAGACAGAGATCGCAAGTAGGCAGAGAGAGAGGAGGAAGCAGGCTCTCTGCTCAGCAGGGAGCCTCACTCGGGCTTGATCCCAGGACCCTGGGATCCTGACCTGAGCTGAAGGCAGAGGCTTTAACCCACTGAGCCACGCAGGCGCCCCTGTTTGTTTTTACCTCCTGAAGCACAACAAAAGTTAGCTGATATGTTTTAACCAAAATAGAATCAAAGAATTTCAATGTCTTTAGTCCCTGCCCTCCAGCTCTTTACTATGGGATAAAAGTGGATGGAGCTATTGTTTGTTGTAGGATGTCCCAAGAAGGGGCAGGAAACGGCCTGATTTGAGTGTTGGAAGCCGTTAGACTGATGAGCTCCAAAGCAGAACTGAGCGAGAGAAGTCAGCCCTGGTTTCTTTTCCCTTATCTGCCACCTTCTTTTCTCAGGTGGTGTCTCCTCCTTCCAGAGTTCAGAGCCTCTTTCCCATCTCTACACACAGCCAACTCCTCAAAACCCTCTCCGAACAAGGATGCTTATCTGTTTTATTTCAACCAACAAATACAATCACCTGTTGTGTGCCGGCCCCTGGGTTCAGCTCCCGGCACGCAGCGGTGATTGACAAGGCTTCCCTATGTCAGAAATGTTTGCTTCTCAGCAGGAAGTGATTTCTGTTGAAGGCTTACTGAATTAATCACAAATTGTAAAATGGCCGCTGCCAGAGAGCTGAACCCAAATAGACCTTGTTACAAATTTAATAGATGCCAGTATAGGTAGTAATACAGATGTGATGGAGAGTCAAATTTTATAATATCTCTGTAATGAATGTATATGTGCCATGGAAATAAATAAATATATATGTGTATATATACACATACAATGTTTATATTAAATAATCTAAATTTCATATAATTACCTATTTTTTTAAAAATTGTTGGCAGCTAACTCTCTCCTCAGTTCCCTCCTTACTTTGTTTAAATCCCATGGTCCATCACGATCACTCCGTATCATGCACATTGGACTTCTCTCTGTTAACTCTTGCTTCACTTGGCTTAACCACAACCCTGGTTAAATCCAACACCTCATCTGCTTTGTGCAGCTGAATGTGCCTGGAGAAAAAGCACATAGCCCGCTGCTCGTCTCGCTGTGAATTCGTGGGTACCGCGGAAGACCCTGAAGCTGCCAGGCCATCTCACTCCTCTTCTCTTGTCCATTCATTTGCCTGGGCTCCTGGGTTGTTTCGTTCCTCCCCCCTCCACTCAAACTTCCAACACTTCCCTGCTCACCCCGGGCTGATGGCCTGGATTCCTATTTCAGCAGGAAAATGGAAACAAAGAGGCCTTCCTGGAGCTCCCAGTACCAGCTACATGGGTGCAGCTGTCCATACATTCTCCTCTTCTCTCTCTCACACAAGAGATAAGGTGTTTTGCTCCAACAAAGGCCAGTCCTTCCCCTGTATATGTTTTAGAGTCTGTCTCCTCTCATGTGCTCAAGGATCCTACTTCGCGATCTTCTATTTCTCCTGTCTCACCAATGTTCTTCCTCTCTTCTGGGACATTCCCTGCAGGACACAAACGTGTTGTTTCACCCATCTTTAAAACTCCCACTTCTGAGGTGTGTACATAGGGTTTCTTATTTCTCCCCCCCTTATTTCTTGAACTCACTCCAGTCGGGCTCTCACCCCAGAAACTACAACTTGTCATGGTCACCAGTCACTCCTGTGGTGACAAGCCCATGGTGAATTCTGCATCCTTATCTTTTAGACCTGGCAGTATTTGGTATTTTTTATTGTCCCCTCCCCTGGTGACAGGGTTGCTTTTGGTGTGTGTGTGTGTGTGTGTGTGTGTGTGTGTGTGTGTGTTTAAGTTTTCAAGTTGGCTTCTAGAATGCCACACTCTTCCAGATTTCCTCTACTTCTTCAATGACTTCTTGGCAGTCTTGTTTGCTCTTTGCCTCTCATCTTCCTGATGTTTTAATGATGGATTGTCCTTGGATTCCATCCTGAGATCATCCCTCTTCTTTACCTGTCATCACTCCCTTGGTGATCTTATCCATATTCATGACGTCAAATACCAACTTTATGTTCAAGTCTTCCAAGTTCCTGTCTCCAGCTGAACTTCTCCCGGGAAGTCCTGCCTCACGTCCTGCTGTTTCTGTGGCATCTCCACCATGTGTCTAATTCATATAAAAGCTACATATCCAGAGCTGAGCTCTTGAGTCACTCTCAAATCTGTCTCTTCTAGAGTTTCTCCAACCCAATTAATGGCAACTCCAGTCTTCTAGGAACTTCGTCTGAAAACCTCAACATCATCCTCCACTTTTCTATCACACCTCTCTGCTAATTAATCAGTGAGTTCCTTTGAATCCTCCTTCACAATTTATCCAGAACCTGACCACTTCTCACCACCCACCCTGCCATCACCTTAACCTTTTGGATACCATTCTCTCTTGTCTAGTTGACTACAATAGCCTCTCCCCTTCTCCTGCTTCAATCAGTTCTCAAAATAAAAGCCAGACTCAGTCAGTCTGCATCACTTTTTTGCTCAAGGCCCTCCAATGGCTCTCCCCCTCACCTCGGAGGAAACGCCAACTCCTTCCAATGATCTGCCAAGCACTGGATGCTATAGTTCTCTGTAAACTTTCTAAACACCATCCCTGCTACTTGTCTACCATCCCTTATTCAACCCCCTGGGACTACATTCCGGCACTCCAATTATATTTTATTTTAGAAAGAGACTATGGTAAGTACACTGTAAAATACAAAACCTCAAGAGGAATTCCGGGGTAGCAACCTGTAAACAACCACGCAGATATTTTTGTAGTAAAATCTATGAATACTCCTAGTAAGTGGGATAATGAGTACACACACACACACACACACACACACACACACACACACAGTTAGGTCAGTTTCTGTTGCCAAATGAGTCTGCTGCAAATTGAAAAACAAATGAAAAAGTCAACACCCCACTTCTTTTCCCCAGAGATTTTTAGATTTTGAAACTGCAGAATCAGGGGTTGTAGACCTGTCTCTCCCCGCTGATCCCTCAGCTCTGGTCAGGGTGAACTCCTTGTAATTCCTCTGTCACACTGAGCACGCTCCTTCCCCCAGAGGCTGGTACATTCCCTTCCCTCTGCCTAGAATGCTGCCCTCCACCAGAAATTCCCATAGTGTGCTCCTCATCCCCTTCGACTATGGATTCAAATGCCTCCCATTTTAGGGGCACCTGGGTGGCTCAGTTGTTAAGCATCTGACTCTTGATCTTAGCTCAGGTCTGGCGCTCAGGGTCATGAGTTCAAGCCCCATGTTGAACTCCACACTGGCATGGAGCCTACTTAAGAAAAGAAAAAATGTCACCTAGAAACCCCTTCTCACCTGAATATACATGCACTTTCAGTTAATTTATGTGTTTTTATTCATTGTCCCCACAACTCCACTAGACTCTACTCCATGAAGATTAGGATTATTTCTTCCACTGTTGAATCCCCAGTGCTGAGAACAGTGTCGGGTGCCTAATAGACACTCAAATAAATATTTCTTGAATAAATTAATGAATCTACTTTCAAGATTTTTTTTGTCATTGGAAAAGGCTGCTCACAGTAAGATAGAGAAATGACTCATTTAGAAAGTGGAAATTAAGAAAATATGAACTGATATGCCAACTTTATATGATTTCTTAACCAATTAAACCTAGCTTCATGTACTATGCTGTATTTCAAATGCTCTTTTAAAGAACTTTTAGGTCAAAAAGGAAATAAAGCACTTCAATTGCAGAATATATCAAAATGTAATGACTCAAGAATTGAAGAAATTAGAAAAAGAACAAGTAATATTGAAGGAAGAATTTCATTAATTAAAATAAATGTAGAGGTTAACGCATTAGAAAAACAGGAGAAAGGCAATATAATTGATAGATACGTGTGATGGTTGCTTAATAAAACTTAAGAAATAGAAAACCATGCCGACAGATTTAAATAAACAATGGGAAATAACCACAGGTGTGGAAGAAATTAAAATGATTATACTTTGTATAAATTCAGGCCAAGAGAAATGAAATTCTAGATGAAAATCTTACTCTTTACACCAAAATAAATCTCAGATCGGTGAACATTTAAAGTAAAACTGAAACAAGAAACGTATAAAAGAAAACAGAGTGGAATTGTGAATTAACTTGAAGTAAGGAATACTTTTCTAAATAAGGTGAAACCCCAAAACTGTAAAGGAAAAGATTAATCATTTTTTGAATAAAATGTGAAACTTCTATAAAACAAAAATACAAAGAGCAAACTAGAATATCTTTTCTCAATATCTGACTGGAAAGCAGCAAATTGTATTTGAAGAGTTTTTACAAATAGGAAAAAAGCAAACTTTAGAAAAAGTGCATAGGACACAAAGATCTCACCCACAGATGTGCAAAGGGGCAGAAATGCACAAGATATTCAGTTTGTGTGGGTAATTCAAGAAATGCACATTTAAATGACAAAAGGCTTTTCCTTCCGGTGGCACCTATAAAAATGTAACCCCAGTACCCTTCCATGGCAGACTGTATTATTGTCCCCCATTATTTACTCCCTATCCCTGGAAGAGGACTCTGTAGCCTCAGCCCCACCTTTGGCCACAGGATGTACAAAGACAGTCCAAGTCTCAATGCCTGTGTGAAGAGCCTTTACCCGCTTTCTCTCTGCCCCAAGAGCAACATGTTCTGAACAAGGGTCTCTTTAGCTTAGATCTGGAGTGAAAAGGACTGGTAAATCAGAGCCACAGTGAACCTAAAACTATTGCAGCCAAAATGTAACATAAATGAGAAATAAACCCTTATTTTGGTAAGACAAGGAGATTTGGAGGCTCTTGCTTACCACAGGCAAAAGGTAATTAATTAATGTTCCTCTCGATTCTACTTAGTAATAGAATGAGCTGCCTGATGGTCCATATTTTACCACTTAACAGCAGTGACTCATTGGGCAAGAGTGATTGCTTTTTCTTTTTTTTTTTTTTTTTTTTTTTTTTTTTTTTTTAGTGATTGCTTTTTCTAAGTGTCCACTTCCTCAACTACGTGACACTTAGGGCTCAGTCTGTTTTTGCTGTTTTAATTATTATTAGTAAGATCCAGAAGCCACACTGAACATAATTTGGAGAAGTAGTACTCTTTTTTTTCTGTTGTAACTTATTTATTTTTTATTTTTTTATTTTTTTAAAGATTTTTATTTATTTATTTATTTGACAGATAGAGATCACAAGTAGGCAGAGAGAGAGAGAGAGAAGGAAGCAGGCTCCCTGCTGAGCAGAGAGCCCGATGCGGGGCTCGATCCCAGGACCCTGAGATCATGACCTGAGCTGAAGGCAGAGGCTTTAACCCACTGAGCCACCCAGGTGCCCCTAACTTATTTTATTATTAAAGTAATCATTATTAATCATTGAAAATTTAAGACCATAGATAAAGATAAAGAAAATAAAAACTAAAATAAAATAAAATAAAAATGTGTTCTCATCACTGTCAATATTTTGAAGCACTTCCTTTAAATTTTATTTTTCCCCATGCATTTTAAATAAAACCATACATAGTTCTGCTACCTACCTGCCCTTTCCCCCCAACCCTATATCATTCTCACTTTATTACTGACCGCATTACAGATCTCTGTAAACATTTTCAATGGCTGCATATCTTCAAGGCTACCATTTTAAAACTATATTCTTTGTTTTATATTGGCCCAATAACAACTTACTGATTTTATAGAAAACATGTTATTTTTAAAGCACTATTAATCTTTCAATTCTTTTCTTTAAATGGATTTAGTGCCTTAAGATGTTGACCAGTCTCCTTCGTCACATGTAGTTTCTTCTAACTTTATGCTCTTTCAGTGGGCATTTCCTTATGAAAAAGGACATGGTGACCAATAACCCTGGTAAGTTACAAACATTGAGAATGGACAATATTTATAACAACCTTCATTTCAAAATCCAAACTCACTTCCATAGACTGAATGATGTAGTTAAGAATTTGTGTTGGGGAGGGGGGAGCCATGTAACCCAAAAAACAAAGGCAGCTGGACATTCTAGGAAAAAACAGAAGGTTCTATTAGAATAGCATGATCTAGGGGCATCTGGGTGGCTAAGCCATCTGACTCTTGATTTCAGCTCAGGTCATGATCTCAGAGTCCTGAGATGGAGCCCTGAGTCAGGTTTATGCTTGGCACAGAGACTGCTTGAGATTCTCTCTCTCCCCCTGCCCATCCCCACCATGCTCTCTCTCTCTCTCAAATACATGTATCTTAAAAAAATAAAATACACAATCCAAATGTAAACTCATTGGTCCAAATCAGAACTGCATGTATGTGTGCTTCAACAGAAAAAACAGAATAGATTCCAGGCAGGAGAAATGTTGATTGAGGAGCTGTACTGTACTAGGGATATATGGAAGAGGGCGCATGTTTACTCTTGCAACAAGAGAAAACAAAGGCAACCAGAGAATCCAGGAAAATGAGATGGCATAAGAAAAGCATAATCCAAATATGGAGGAAACTAAAATGACACTGATGTTGAGCAATTCATGTCTATGAAAAGATCATTCATTTGAATCTTCTCCTCTGAAGGGAATGGGTAGCTGAATAATGAGGTGCAGACAAGGAAATGTAATTATAGCATGCTAACTGGCTCTGAAAGGAAAAATATTTATCTAGTCATAATAATATGTCTCTGTTTATTGATATTCAATTCTTTAGAGCCAGTCTACAGATAAAACACAAAAGACTTAATTATGATTATAGAGCAAAGTCTGAATGTTATTAACTTTGACGGTATGAAAGTCAAAGTGTGGCCGGCAGCCTTTGGAAGATGGAAGGGAAGAGGACGGGCAACACGGCTTAAGCCTTGTCTTGCAAAGGTAGGGAGTCAGGTTATGAGAAGTAGGAGGTATGGATCAAAAAAGAAAAGAGTACGGGGGCACCTGGGGTGGCTCACTCGGTTAAGCATCTGACTCTTGATTTTGGCTCAGGTCATAATCTCAGGGACATGAGATCAAGCCTAACGGTCCGCTTAAGATTCTCTTTCTCCCTCTCCCTCTACCCCTCCAGCCCCCTTGTTCTCTCTCTCTCTCAAAAAGAAAAATAAAAAGGAGAAGAAGATGATGATGATGATGATAATTACTATTTAAGTTTATAGTGGAAACCAGGGTGCCTGGGTGGCTCAGTGGGTTAAGCCGCTGCTTTTGACTCAGGTCATGATCCCAGGGTCCTGGGATTGAGTCCCACATCAGGCTCTCTGCTCAACAGGGAGCCTGTTTCTCCCCCCCGCTCCCCGCCTACTTGTGATCTCTGTCTGTCAAATAACTTTATAGTGGAAGCCATTAGATGAGCTAAAAACAATGTTACTGACTGTAGAGGAGGAGGACTTAAGACAATGTGGAGAGAATTGTCCTGTAGGAGCTCTTGCCCCCCAGCTTCATGTCAGCCCTTGCCCGGCCAGCACTGAGATGCTCAACCACGGTTCCCCCTGTTCAGCCATTCCCAGAGAAGCACTGTCAGCAGGGACACTAGAGGGACACTGAGGCTCCAGGATGAAAAAAGGAGGTGCTCCTTCCTGTTGGCTCCCGGTTCCTGTCAGTGTTTTTCCAGCAGTGACTTGTCACCTCTGCATGAACAATTGTCCAGTAGCAGCTGATGGCTCTGGTTTGCAGCTGTTCTAAAACCCCTGGTGCGTGGGGTACCAGGGGTACCTAGTGCCCACTTAAAGATGCCAGCACTAGCCGGCTAGCACCCCTCTTCAGGGACTGAACCCCAGCTCTGGAGACAGTACCCTGGCCCGGGTCTAGCAGCCCTTCCTCCAAGTTTCCTCATTTGAATAAACAAACCTCTTCTGTGTCTCCCACCAGACCCTGCCAGTAGCTGCTCCTGCAGTTGTCACCTGGGAGCTGCTGTCTGGTCCCCTTTTTGCCTTTGGTTTGCCAATATCTGATTAATGACAATTCATTGTATTAAACTCTCACAGTTAAAAATAAGCGGTGTGATTTGTTTCTTGCCCTGATCCTGGCTGATTCCAAGAACAGGTGGGTTAAATCTTCATTTATTACTGTAGCGAGTTAATAGATCATGTGTGACTAAAGTTATTATATCAAAACTTAGTGGGGTAAGTGTGTTATATAGAGAGATGGGGGTGACCACCAGAATAACTGTCACCTCTGGGGACAGGGCTGGGTTTGGGAATGAGGAGGGGATGTTGCTCACCTGTACAATTTCTTTTTAAAAATTTAATTCTCTGTCCTCTCTCTTTATATTTATTGTGGAACCTCATTGGTAGGGAATGGAGAAAATGCTGTATCTCCTAAAATTTTAAAGTAAAATCTGGTGGACTTGGAAGTCAAAGTCTGATTTGCCATATTTTGGTAAATGGAAGAAAACCCTCAAATTCAAGTCTTCAAACAGCTCTAGTCACTAGTAACAAATAATCCTAAAATGAACAAATGAAAACCAATGTAATAAGTAATAATAAATTGAATACATAATTCATTAATAAGTTGAACAAATAATAGCAATTATCACTGAATAAATTAAATTATTCCTCCATTAAACAACAGGAAATGAAGTTGTTTTGACTATTAAATGAAAAAGAAAAGCCCTGTTGAAAAGACAAAGGAAAGTCAGTGGATGGCAGAAATATTAAGACTCAGTTTCCCCAAAGCTTCTCATTGTAGAGATGAGTGGGGTGAGCTCCAGACAGAAGAGACTTGGTTACAACTGAATGAAATTTTGCTGTCCCTGTGCTCTCAGGAGACCTATACCTCTCAGGTATAGTGTTAGGCTCTGGGGACTCCAAGGTCCCTTTCAGCAAAAATTTCACTCTCATAAGAAAAGGCAGGAATTCAGGGAACACTCAGTATCTATGTCTAGGCCCATTCACAAGGGTTGTCCTGGGTGATAGGTAATCTTCCTATCAAGGCTGTAAGGTAAGTGGGATTAACTCTACTTTGCAGAGGACATAAAAGAAAAAAGAATTGTCCAAAGTCAGGAATATCTGATTCCAAAGTCCCTATGCTCTCCTTTGTGGCACTGTGATCTGCAAAGTCATAGTCATAAATAATAGGAGGAGGGTGGTGGCAGAAGGGGAGTGGAGAGCATTCTTTAAAGAGAGTCTCCCTGGGCCGAATTTGTTTGACTTAAATCCCTATTTTAATGAACCATTGTGGTGGGAAACCCAGCCTCTCTCTGGACCTGGTTCCTATAATACTAACACTCCATCTTTTTGCTGCAGGAAAAGAAGTTTGCTATGAAAGGGTGGGGTGCTTTAAAGACGGTTTACCATGGACTGGGACCTTGTCAAGACAGTTGGCAGGTTTGCCCTGGTCTCCAGAGGAGATAAACACTCGCTTTCTGCTCTACACTAGACATAATCCCAAAGTCTATCAGGTAAGCTAACTTGCTGCCTTCACACATAGGTTATTCTACATCAGAAGATGTATCTATAGATACAGAAGGCCTAGGTTCAGTAACTTACTCTGGCACAAACTACTGATTTAAAGGCCAATATTTCTTTTTAGTATTGTGAGCCAGATTTTCTTGTCATATTATTTGTTCTAGTACTTAAATATAAAGATTGCTCTGCATCTGTTGTTTCATATGAAATGAATTTGATACTCCATTCGATTAATATACTAATTGAGAACTTTCCACAGGTAAGACTAGGGACAAGCAACAGTATCTATCATGTTTCAAATTGATTAAATAAGACAGTATCTTGTTTATTGTATTAGGGAAAATAGGGTTTGTAAACAATTAACTTCTGTTGCAGCACCAACTATAATCTGTTACGTAAGATACAAAAAAAGGAATCTGGGAGCGTGGTGAGGAAAGGCTTACCTTCCCCTTGGGGGTGGGACGGGAACCAGGAAAGGCTTTGAGGAAGACACCTGTTTGAGGTGTGTCCCACAGAGTGGGCAGGGTTTATGTAAGCAGAGACACACAGGGAAGTGACAAATGAAGTGGTGTGGATGAAAGAAAGCCTGCAGAGTATGTCTGATGTCATGTCGAGTTGGACGGAGGACAGAGAGGAAGTGCTGGAGTATGGAGTTAGTTAGAAAAGTAGTTTAGAGATGAATTCTAGGGAACTAGAATCTTCCTGGGGACTCTGGGTTTTATTCTGTGAGCCATGAGGCCCCAGTGGGAGTTTTTAATGAGTCTATAGGTTTTTTACCCTGGCTGCAGTGAACCTTCTTGGACCGGAGCTGGGAGAGCCTGCCAGTGATCTCCAGACCATGTAGTACCGAGCCGCCCAACACACTAATCATGAATGAGCTACATGGGTATTAAAACTAAATAAAATGAAAAATTCCATTTTTCAGCTGCACCAGCCACATATCACGTGCTCAGTAGCCCTCTGTGGCTAGTGGCTACCATTTTGGACCATGCAAATATAGGCTATTTCCACTATCTCAGAAAGTTCTATTTGAGAGTGCTAGAAAACCAGACTCAGGGAACTACTCTGAGCCAGAGCAAGGGCACGAGTATGAGAACAGAAGACCGACATGATAAACATCCTAAACTGTCCTGAGACATCACACATGAGTCACAGGAAGAATAATGACCTCTTGTCAAGAAAACTTGATTGGGGATGCAGGAGAATGAGTTACATTTTGGACCAGTGAGGTTTGGGCCGGCTATCGGATATTTGCATCTTATAGCTCAGTAGGCAGTCTAGAGCTGGAAAAAGAGATGCCAAAGTCTTTTACCCCGAGGTGAGAGTTGAAACCCAAAGAGTGATGTGATCTTAGGGGCACAGAAAAAAAGCATGATACTAGACCTAAGCAGAGCAAAGGCCAGAGAACAAGCACTCCGCGGTTCAAGATAATTTCCCATCTCTACCTGCTCCTGATTCACCCTGAGCCTCACTTTCCATCAGACCCAGCCAAGACACCACACCAACAGAATCTGATGTGTAGCTCTCCACTGACCAGACACACACGTACGTAGGGGCACACGGCTCTTCACTGAAATCCGCCCTTTGCCCTGTCGATGACAGCTCTATCCAAAACAAAGAGGAAAAGCCCTTAATTGGGGTCCAGAGAAATTTACAGAGAAAGTGTACTCAAAAGTGTGATTTCCGTAACTATCAAAAAGCCAAGAGAGGAATGTTCCTCAGCTTTAAAAAGAAATGGCATTGCGGTAGATGCCACAACATGGATGAACCTTCAAAACATCTTACAAACTTAAATAAGCAAAGACACAAAAGGACAAGCATGGTGCATTCCATGAAATTCCCATTATATGAAACCCCTAGAATAGTCGAATTCATAGAGATAGAAAAGTAGGATAATAGTTACCAGGGGATGGGGGAGGGAACATTGTGGAGTTACTATTTCAGGGTACAGGATTTCAGTTTGGGATGATAAAAAGTTCCTTGAGAGGGATAGTACTGATAGTTACACAACAACGCTGATGACTTCGTGTTACTAAATTGTATACTTCAAAATGGTTGAGATGGTAATTTTTGTGTTATATCTATTTTGCCACCATTTTTTCTAATGTAAAGGGAATCTGTTGAATATAAAAGTTTTGGAGCACCTTTGCTCTCTGGTTAGAACTTTAGGGTACATGTGTGTATTCAGGACTAACTGAACCCCTGGTCTTGTCCCTCAGTCTTCATAGGACTCATTGGTCCTTAGTCCTTCTACATAGTGGCCATGCACTTGAACTTGAAGTGCACTTGAACCATAAAGCACGGGCACCAAAACAGGTGATAAAGGTCAGTCTTTAGGAGAATGTGGACCCTAAAGGCAATGAAGAGACTGTCAGACACTGAGTACTCTCCTAATAAAGGGACCATAAAGGCAACATTCCTCACGTCTTTTCCACTCCCTTCCATTTGGAAAAAACCCTGTGACAAACCAGATCTGTACTTGAATTTTGCAATGGATGGAAGCCTGAGGGTTTGGTGTTCATGTGTTTTATACCAACAGTCAGGATACAGGTTGGGTCAACATACAATACTAAAAACCTCGATGGCCCCATGGTTGGCCCATATGCTACCCTTGGTGTATGAGAAAGCAGAAGTTAACCGTGCAATGGTTTAATGTTCTCTTTTCCCAGAGGGAGGGCTTTTAAAGCTAACCGTTGTGCAATAACCTGGACTCTTCGGAGAGTCCCAGGTCTTCACAGCTACAATTCTATAAGAATGAATCCAATCTGCCATCCCCCACAGCGGCTCATACGGTTAGTCACTGGCGGTGATGCACATTTTGCACAATTATGGTGGTTTCTGGGCCTGCAGCTTTTCTCTAGGCTGGGACATACCTAACTGGTGACTACTTTTGACTGACTACAGATGAGATCACCGAGAGAGTAGCTATGCTCTGTGGAACGGGTTGATCTCATACCAGGTAGGCTCTGTGATTCTTCAATGATAAGAACGTTAAAAGTAAAGGTCTGAGCACCCAGCTAAACATTGAAACTTTACCTAGCCCTTTCTTGGGATAACCCCTTCTGTCTTGACACCCTTTTATGGCTCTGTCCTTGCGGCAGCAGAAGCTGAGGTGTCCTCTTTGAGTTGATTCCATGGTGTTGTTTCCTGTTTTCTAGGTTAGTATGTCATTTCACAGGGGTGTGCCAGATTGAATACGAAGAGAACAAAAGTGTTTTTCTACCTTTCCTACTTTATTGAATTCTTCAAGGCTTTTGTGACAGTAGAGGATGCTGGGATCCCATAAGAGTTGTTAGATTGACACTTTGAAGCTTTCACAAGGCCCCACATCTAGCCTCCAGCTCTTCTCACGACGTAGAAAGATTAAACAAACTTTTTCTACCAAATCCCCTTTCTCAAATAGGTTTGAGGTGTTTTTTTCTTTTCTTTTCTTTTTTTTTTTTTTTTTTTTTTTTTTTTTTTTGGTCACAGAAATAAAAATATGGTTGGTTGTTTAAGGAGCTCCAGCTGGGGTTGGAATTAACATCTGGATTCTTTTAAATATGTAGATGGACAAATGTTTTTGTGTTTGGATTCCATTATTCAGTACAGCAGCGCTTCCGAAAAAAAAAAAAAAAAAAAGCCCAGATACGTTTGATTTTCTTATCTGTCTCAACAAATCCCACATCTGCTCTGGGCCGTATCAGTAAAGAACAGTATGATCAGACCCCAACTTGAGAGCTCGGTGGTAGAACATGTGACTTCAGGGAAAGACCACGTGGGTTTCAACCCCTACACCAGGACTTGTTAGCTGGAGGGCCTTTGGACAAATGACTTGACTTCTCATTGTGCCCTTTCCTAATCTGTAAAGTTAGTACCTACCTCACAGTGTAGCTAAAAAGTCTTCACTGCAAAGTGCTTAGAACGATTCCTGGCACATGCGAGTGTAGCTATATTATAATGACTACGTAAGTCAATTTAAGATTCTCCTAACTGCTTGCTTACCACCCTGGAGCTATTTTAACTAGCCTGCAAGTTGTATGATCAACTTGCATGTTACTGTTAAACACAGGGCTAGGAATAGGCCCTTCCTTTGAAGGATCTTTGCTGTGGGATTCTCCATGGTCCAACTTGCAACTCGCTGATTAGAGGGCTCATCTTTTTTTTCTCAAAATAGAATTTTGAGCATTTCTTAGAGCGTGCCTTTTCATGTTTCTTTTAAGAACGAAATCACTTCAGTGCCTAGTATCGCTTAAATTGAGTTTGGTTGGTTATAAAAACAATCCAACAAAATACAAGAAATACGAAAGAACATTTAAGGTAATTACATAAGATGATCATTAATACGCTATTGCGCTGCATGTGGTGAGATCCTAAACTATATTCCCTCCCCCGTAAAGTGGGGTGAACAATCTCTTTTGCCGCCTTGTCAGCATTTCCTAAGCCTCAAGCAGCACACGGCTCATGGATTCCATGGGCAGCAGAGAAGTAAGTGCTAGAAAAAGTAAGGCTGACAGGAGCCCTGACCGCAACTGACCCAGCATTGTCTTACAAACCTTGCCCTGAAAGCAAACATTTTTCTTTCCTTTCCTTGTGATTACATTTATATATTATATTTGATAACGCATTAATAATTTCTTAGTACCTTGCCGTGTGTAGCAGTAACTATTTCTTTGGTAAAAATGTATTAAAGAAGATTGTTAAAAATCAAATGTAGTGGAAGACTTTTGAGCAGACTTGGAATAATTCTACTAAGTGTCAAATAATTTTGAATTATTATTTTACCTTAATCTCTTTTCACTTGAAATAGGAGATCAGTGCAATTAATTATCTAACTATCCAAACCTCACACTTTGGAACAGACAAGATGACCCGTATTAACATACCTGGATGGAAATCAGATGGAAAATGGCAGCAAGACATGTGCAATGTATGATACGAATAGCCTCTTCTTTATACTGGTATAAAAGCTGTATGTTTAATGGGAATGTACTTTGCATATATTAATGCATATTCATGAAAAATCCTCCATTCAGTTACTCACATTGTCCCTGTCCCAAGGCCCCAAATGAATTATCCATTTCCCATTTATACCCACTTATTATGAATTGCATAGATTATAATGGGAGCATATTTCTTTATAATTATTCTTTGATAAAGTCTCACTTTTGACAAAAGATTGAACAATATGATAAATTTCTCACTTAAGGGAAAAAATTTTCCAGGTTCACTTCAAGAAATTAATTTTCCTCCCTTACACTCAAGATTAATAGACTGCTAACATAGTAAGCAATTAATTATTTATAAGGCCATATAGTATAGTAGAGTCAGGCTGCCTGAATTCATACCGTGGTTCTATGTACCACGATCGTGGCTAAGTTTAATTAACTTGTCCATGCTTTGGATTCTTTATCTGTAAAAGGGATTAAGTAAGATGATATATATAAAAGGTTTAGGGCAGAACCTAATGTGTACTCTGTTCTCAATACCTGGTAGTGTTATTTCTTTTTTCTTTTTTCCCAGTGTTATTTCTTATTCTGGAATCCATTGCTCAGTCACTTTGGCTTCCTTTAATTCTTCTTTCTTACATACATAATAAATCTTTGTGCCAGGTGTTACTGAAAGCGGAAGACGTGAATTGCATTAACATAGACTGGATTAACGGTTCGTTGGAATACATCGACGCCGTCAACAATCTGCGTGTTGTTGGGGCTGAGGTGGCGTATTTTATTAATGTTCTCACGGTAAGAGAAGTTGATTTTTTAAAACTGTGTTTAATTGGTTTTGCATCATAACACTGAGAATCTGCGTCGATTTTATGGCTTTTTTATTGCTTACACAACTTCTAAGCGTCTTTTGAGATATTAAGCATTCCGTATGGTGACCAGGAAAGGGAAGGGACTTCTTGGAAAAGAAGTGCCTGTGATTCTACAAAGCGCCACTTGGTGGCAGTGTCCCTTCACAGGTTCCTCACCCAAGGCTTTCCCCACCCCTAACCCCAGCCCCAAGGTCATGTCCGGGGTTGCCTTGTAAGACTGTCTCCTGCCAGTTAGTTTTTGTCCCATCATAAACCTATCCTTAATGATTATAAACTATTCCCATCTTATGAATACCATTTATTGGGAATGTGAACTACATGGTCCCACAGAAATTGGGTTCTGTGGCAGGGAATTAGTTAGGTCTGTGGTCCAGCCCAGGCACAATAACACCTACATTTTCTAAAAGAATAAAATAGCAAAGTCTTTTGCTATATAGGAGGGTTACACCCTGAGACATTTATAAATCTCCATATGCCCTACTATTATAGAAAGTAATTTCCCACCATAAAATGCAGCGAAGTAAAATCTAAAGATTTATGACCCTTTCAGACTCTTAAGGTGGGTTCACTCATTCATTCAACAAATATTTTTCTCTGCGCCGCTGTGGGCTAGGCGCTGTTCTAGTCACTGAAGATACAGGGTGAGTGAGACAGTTTCTGCTCTGACAAAGCATGAGGACAGTACTATGAAGTCCAAGGCAGTGGGATGGAAAGAGACTGGAGCAGAGGCTAACCTAGGTGGGCAACCCAGGGAGGTGATGCTTGCACCTGAGCACAATGAGGAACCAGCTGGAGGGGACTCATGGGGCCAAGTCCTCACCTCTGCCCCCACACGGTTTGTCCGCTCGTCCTGCCTTTGAGGGAGACCAGGGCACAAGGAGGTACCTAGAATGGGTCCTTGCATCTAAAGGATGAAATCCGATTTCATCTCTTCAGAGAAATACCTGTCCTAACCTTTTGTGAATTTCTTGTGGATCCTGGGGCCTGCACTGTGGGCTCTTCTAGGTCCAGGAAATAAATGGCAGTGACTTGTCGGAGAGGAAATGTTTGCGGAGAGGAAAGCATTTGCTGTAGTACATGTTCGGTGAATTGATGGGGACAGAGGAGGGGATGCCTGTAGGGGGAGGAGGGCTGATCGGATACCAGGCTGTAGAGGAAGACAGAGAGAAAGCCGAGATTTGAAAGGGTGGCCGCAGTGGAGGAAGGGGCCCCTAATGACCAGGAGACATCCTTGGATGCACATTCACATGTAACGGATGGAGAAAATACTCTTTATAAGGCAGCACGTAATACAGTCATTACTGGTGGGAAAAAAGTGGAACATTTGATCAAATGACAAATTTATCCATGTGAAGGCAATTGCTTGATTTTCGCTGTTACCGTGAAGAGAACTTGAAGCTCAGATGAAACAGAAAGGGCTTGCTCCTTTGTTCCCCGTTGAGTGTGCGTGCGTGTGTGTGTGGACTCTTTGGCATACAGTCACTTTGGGAATAGTCATTAAAATTCCTCTTTGAAGACCAAACTCAGCACAGACATTTGCTAGAGTGTCCTTCAGTTGGAGGAGACAGACGCAGGGAAGGTATGTAACAGCCCTGGTATGACCGCATTTGACCCATGATGAGAGTGTGCTGGCAGGGTTGGCTCTCAGGGATGGTGGTTGCTGGACGTGGTTGCTGGACGGTTCTTTTCCTGAGGACCACAAGGCCCCTTAGCACAGGGAGAAGAACCTGACAGAGGTCATTCTTCCAGGCCTGCCCTGTCCTTTCTCCTTCAGCCAGACAAGGAGCCAGGGGGTCACTTTGTCCTTTGACCAGTTGCCAGCCTGTGTGTGAGAGGGACAAATAAGCTTATGTCGAGCACAGGGAAGCCATTCTGCCTGGTCTCTTAAAAACATGTGTTCTGTTTTCCTTTGAAAACCCAATCAGAAAAAATTTGGATATTCTCCTTCTAAAGTTCACTTGATTGGCCACAGCGTGGGAGCACATCTGGCTGGGGAAGCTGGGTCCAGGGTCCCAGGCCTTGGAAGGATAACAGGTAAGCCTGCCCTGGGCATGGGCCTGGAATCTGCTCCCATGTTTGTCTACATACAAAATCAGTGTCTGAAACACCAGCGGGAGTAGAGAAGAGGATGTGAGATAGGAGGGAACGGGGCTCAACTACACATGACAGCGTTTTCAAAGTAGGAGGGTGTAGGTCCATGTTCAAGAATGTTCGCTGGGGGTCACCTGCGGTGGCAAAGTATCGGGAGCTGCCCACCCAGCAGTAGAGGATGGCTTATGAGTTACAACATGCGCCATGCCACTCCAGAATGAGCCAGAGCCTCACTGACGGTTCTGGAAGGACGTCCGGGACATATCGCGGTCACAGCTCACCGTGGACACTGGCTGTGTGGAACTGTGCCCACGCCGTTCCAGTTGCTAGAATGTTGACTATTACCCCTGGACATACTGTCAAGTCTAAGAATAAGTTGCAGACCGGGTATGCATACACGATGAATTAGCATGATTTAGGATATACTGCGAATTAGATTTTCGAGGAAGATCATCATCTCCCTTTTCGGCACTGCAACTTCCGAACTAATCGAGTCAGATGGAGGGAGATCAAAGTATCAGCTCCAGTAACTACAAATTGGCCTGGCCTCTCTCTCCTCTGCATCCCCAAGCAACATTCAGGCAGCAGGTGCTGGTCTCTTCGGCTGCTTTGCACCTGTCCGCGTCCTGGCCACTGTCCCGGCTCAGGCCCTCTACATCGCTCACCTGGATTTGGCCACTCGTGACAGGTCCCCCAGCCCAGTCCCCCACAAGTGCTACCAAGGCCTCGTGTTTCCCAGTACGGGCTGCCACTCACTGCCAGAACTTTCTGTCGCCCAAAGCCTCTTAGCTCGTCACATAATGGTTCATGCTTCATCGTGGCTTTTCATATTTTGGTGCTATTATCCTTTGCCCTAAATGGCCACTATTCACCTTTCAAGATTCATTTCAAGTGCGCTGTCCTCCGGCAGAGTTAATTCTCTCTACTTCCCAACTCCTTTCAAATACGCCTCTATTATATCCCAAAATGCAACTTCTGTGTTGCATGGTTCTATATACACACATATATAATTATTCATTCACCTGTTTATTTTGAGACACTCTAAACTACTAAGAAAGTCTCTCTTAGCCCACCCCTCCCCAGGCCCGACACACAGTATGTGTACATTTCCTGTTGGTTAAAACAATAAACTATAGTTCTGTGTGTGTACATATATACACACACATACTTATGCTTTAAATTCAAACTTGAACTTTAAGTATCTTTTCCTAAAAATAGTTGAGAACTCCAGGTTACATGTACAGTGTATGGTCTCTGCAGCCTCCCGGTACAGCAGACTTTTCCTGCTGAAAACTTCCTCTTTCTTCCAGCTCCCAAATCCCAACACCAACGCCAACACCAGCCCATGGCCGCCTTTCTTCTTTGAGATAATAAAATTGTATTTTTATTCTGAAGTCCTCGTGTAGCAAAAATCCCCCTTTGCTCTAAGTTTTCAGGCCCGGGAGAGTGAAGAAATGGGCAGAGTTTGTGAAGAGGGAACATCTGGGGGCCTACACAGCCTGTGGGCATTTCAGCCATAAATCAGAGGGAGGAACATCGCTATTCATGTGTTTGCAATCACATGGGGTCACCATAAATTTGTGAAGATTTTGTGTTTCTCAATTTTGATTTCAAAAATCAGATACTATTTAACTCCTAATTCTTCCTGCCAAGTGAATTATCCCGTTGAGTAAGTAGAAAATAATATACTTTTAAAGGCTCTCTGAAAATCCAAAAATGGCTATAATTTAGATGTTGGAATCTATAGTCCTTGCAAGTGGTTAGTTTTGGAACAATCATGTTCCTTGTGTAACAAAAGAACCAAAACCTCAAGAAAGATATGAGCTTTATCATAAAATCAGTTCAAAGCAGAATTAAGTGATAGATTTTAAGACATGTATAAGTTGAACCTCTTGCTGTCTTTCTCCTGGACCCCCCAAATGCAGGTTCCCCACTTCCCTGCTATTTGCCTCTTCTCTGATCAGTAGAGTCTGATGGCTGCCTCCTAATTTTGGAGGCATCTCTGCAGAGTTCTTGACTTCATCAGAAGTTGCAGCTGGTCGGCGATCGCACACGAAACAAACAAACTTCCTAGAGTTGAAGATCGATCCTGAGCCTGTTGTGTCTTACAGGCGTGGGGCCCAAACATTTACTTCTCACTTCTGCCGTATTTCCACGGGTTAGCTGCAGCTCCGCTCCAAGTCCTCTCCACTCCGGGACCCAGTCTCCACTTTACAGCAGAGACTTCTGCTAAAATGTACATCTCCCCTTTTGCAAACCTGTCAGAGCTTCCCATTGCCAACCAGATGGTGTCCCAACCCTTCTGCGTGGTTCAGACTACACCTGGCCCCTCCTTACAATGCTAGCTTTGTCTTTCCCCCAGTTCGAAAATTTTGTACCCCAGCCCTCAAAAACCGGTTATAGTTTCCCAAATGTGCTTAACCGTTTCACCTGCAGGCCATGAAGAGTCTCTTTCTTACCCCTGGGGTGCGGCTGTCCCCTCTTTACCTTGGCTGAGTGTCCTGGTCCCTCAGATCTCTGCTTGTATTTCCATGTCCCGCAGAAGCATGTCCCAACTTCCCAAGACCGGTTTTTGTGTCCCTTCCCTGTGCTCGCATAAGACCTAGGCTCCCCTCGGTCTCTGGACTGAGAGCTCTGGATGGAGGTGTCTTCCCCATCCAACAGAAAGCTCCTTGAGGACAAGGCCAGGCCTTATTCCTTGTACTCAAGTGCTGAACCTAGCTCCTGGCACATAGTAAGTGCTTGATAATAAGTGTCAAGTGTGTAAATGAGTGGCTCCGTGAATGGACATAACATCGTAGAGACCTCTACATAGCTAACCTTTATCCCTCTTAGATACTTGAACAGGACAGAGCGGGCTGAGGGTCTAGACACTCGTCCATTTTGCCTCCAGTATATGATGACCTTGTTGAATCACTTCACGTCACCGGATGTCAGGCTTTTCATTTATAGTATAATGAAGTGGAAATAATGAGCCATGGCTGAAAACTAAGCTGAAGCATGTTGCTTTGTAGATTCATGTTTACAGAGTGAAGAGCTCTTATCTTTTATTTTTATCTGTATTTTTGCCTACGGATGTTGCTTTTGAGGTCATCTGCGATCCATAACCTTCGTTATGGAGATGGTAATCCCTGTACAGACCCGAGCATTTGATTCTTCTATGTTTTTTGGCATTGTCTGGACACAGCCTTGCTTGTGCACAGGAATCTGACATTGTATAGCGACCTGCATGTATGTGCTCAATTTAGGTATCAGTACTTTGTCTTGGGTGGTGTTCGACCTATGTAAATCTCTCCCTCCAAAATAACAACAACACTATGAATGTGCTCTTGGAGAGAACGTGTGTTGGTCTAATGGCCTTCCGTGCTTTTCCCCAGGGTTGGACCCAGCCGGGCCATATTTCCACAACACTCCAAATGAGGTTAGGCTGGACCCCTCGGATGCCGACTTTGTCGATGTCATTCATACAAACGCAGTTCGCTTGCTCTTTGAGTTTGGTAAGTTTTCAGTACAAAGAGAAACTACACTGAAGCATGGAAAAGAATCTTAGAAGCATTTATACTGCTTTTATTGATCTCAGGTGCTGGAACTATTAATGCTTGTGGTCACCTTGACTTTTACCCAAATGGAGGGAAGCACATGCCAGGATGTGAAGACTTAATTACACCTTTATTTACCTTTGACTTCAACATTTACAAGGAAGGTAAATACTTCTTAAAATATGAAGCTAGCTATTATACATTCACTCAGCTCCCTCCTTGGACAGGATCCACACCCTTTTGCACATAATATAATTTAAAAATATACTTTACCCAAAACACAGTCACATGTATGAAGCTCCTACTAGCTGTGAGGCCCACAAGGTCAGGGTCCATGTCTTAGTTATCTTTGTATCCCCAGGGCCTATCAGAATGTCTAGCATATTGTAGTCACTCAGTGTAAACAGGAGGATATGTTTATTCATTCAGCAGGACGTACTGAGTGTCCCCTATGTGCCAGGCATTATTCTAGGAACAGCAGATGTAGGAAGGAATTCAAAAGACAAAAACCCCTCTGTGATGGAGCTAATATTCTAATTTGCTAGAAAAACAGTAATAGAGTAAGGAGACAAAATAAAGCATAAAATTGAATATGAGGTGTTGGTGTTAGTGGGGGTCGAGTGGGGAAAGAAGATTTTTGATAGGGTGGCCACAGACAACCTAAAGGACTTAGCCATGAGGTTACCTGGGAGAAAGGCAATCCAAGCCAGTGGGTGGGAGGCAGCCAGTGTAAAGGGCCTGGGGCAGGAACCTGCCTGGGAAGTTCATGGCAGTGAGGAGCCTACCGTGGTTAGAGGGAATTGAAAGATAAGAGTAGTGGACATGAAGTTAGTTAGAGAAGGGACAGAAGGAGAGAATACTGGGCTTTTGGACCATTGCAAAGATTTCAACTTTTACTCAAGTGAATTGGGAGACATGGGAGGATTTGGAGCAGAAGAGAGATAGGATTTGACTTACTTATTAACAGAATCACTATGGATCACACATTAATCACAAATTAAACAAATAGTATCTAACCCTTTATAGTAGTTTCCGATAAGAATAATATCCATAGAGCGTCTGGTAAGAAGACACCAAAAGCTATTATTTGGGAATTTCATTATTCTCTGGATCTACATATCATCATCATGTAAATAATGAAATGTATCATACATAATAATATAATGTATGATGATATGATAATAAATGACTAAATATCTCACCATCATATTTCACATGGTCAGAATATCTCGATGATCTAATTTTTTTTTCCGATGATCTAATTATTTGATCTTCCAATTGGCTACTGTAGTGGAAAGATACACAGATCATGACATTGAGAGTGGCCAGAGTGTCCTCCTCTCTAGAGACAAAGTGCAAAGTTTTAATATCTGTTCTGAAGAGTAAATGTGATTAGAAGTGTCTATTTGCAATGCGTCCGGAAGAAAAGAAACAAAAACTGGTGAGTTACAGACACTCAGAATGAGAAAGCCAATTCCAGCAAGAAAAGATAAGCAAAATTCATTCCAATAAGGCCTATTATAAAACTTATTTCTCTTCTTATTTTCCATATTATGACTTAAAATCCCTTCTATTAGGATAAAATATAGATCACAATATTTCTTTATATAACTGTATATATACACAGAACTTTTGAAAATCTGTAGAGAATTAATTCAAGTAAAACACATTTATTACAAGCGACCATTTTAAGACATCGTAAAATTCCCTACAACTTTATTTAAAGTATGTGTATCATTCATGGTATGATTTAGAAGAGTTTGAAAACATGAAGATATTCGATTTTACATTATATTTATTACTAAGAAATCAGTTACTTTTAAAATTTTTATTTCCCAAATGCTAATGAACTGTCTTATCTACATCACAATTAATGGTGAATATAAATCTGAATATAAAAAACCCGATGTAAGAGACACCCTTGTTTAAAAAAAAAAAAAAGATGATGCCCATTATTGATCTCTGCTTTCTGAAGTTACCGTGTCTCAGCTAACTATTGCATGGCAAACCAGAATGGCTTAAAAGAACAGTGGTTTTGTTGTCCACTTTTCTGAGGGTCAAGATTCAGGCAGAGTTAGGCAGACTTTGATTTGCGATGAGTCACGTGATTGCATCTGGTTGGGGGCTGCCCTGGGTTAAGCTAGGTGGGAAGGTTCAACATGGTCTTCCATGTCTGGGGTCTTGGTACTGGTTCTTTTCTGTAAGTGGTCTGTTCCTCTTAAGGGCCTTTCTTCCCAGCCAGTTAACCAGGATTTCTTAACAGAAAAGCTGGGTTCTAAGAAAGTAAGAGTGGGTACTAGAATTTTTTTAAGATTGAGGACCTGAATTTGTACGGGGTCAATTCCTCCATGTTTTGCTGGTCAAAGCAAGTCAGGGGACTAGCTTACAATCCAGGGTGGGGTGGGGAGAGTGGGGGGAAAAAAGATACGCTCCTTGCTCTTGAAGGGAGGAGTGGTAATCTGTTGTTCCAAAGAGGTGAGGACCTAAAAAATAGTGACTCACTGGAGGCCACTATTGAAGTATAACGATCTACCACATATACTATAACAAAATCTAGTTTCTCAAAGATCAACCAAGTTGTGCAGGTCATTGGAAGAATAGTCCACGGCAGATGCTAGAGATGTTGCTGTAAGATAGAGAGCATAAAGGACTAGAATGCTAACTTCAGAATGCACAAATGTATTTAGATCTTATTTATTATTGCAATAATAATAAATATTCGTGGCCATAATGTCATGCTTGACATTGACAAAACTAAGTTGTCTTTAGCATTCATTATAACACCTCTCACTTATCACATCTCGGTGTTCAGTTGAAGGTGTGCACTGGTTCACATTGCTGGCTGTTTTGTGATTGAGTAAGAGGGAGTTCAGCCTTCCTGCAGAAACAGGGAGGCAGAGAAGGAATTGATCTAACGTGGGGATGTTGTATGCACAAGGATACTGAAAGCTCTAAGTGCTTTAAAGCTAAGTCAAAGATTCGGAAAGTATTGAAGATAACAGAGCACAGAATCATTTGCATTTGCATTTGTTTATTTACCCTGCTTGAATGTCCCTTGAGGGTCACACAAAGAATTCTCTGATACAAAGAAAATGGTATATGCTATTGAGATAAAGGTTGTGCTGTATCCAGCCTACATACAAGGTCTGGCTGTCTGGACTTCCCACGTCAAGAATATGTTTTTTTTAAGTTATTTTTCTAAGAAATGGCTCCTACTATTAGTTATCAGTTAATCCATTTATTGCTATCAATTAATTGGAAATTGTCTTCGCAGAAGTGGCTTCCTTCTTTGAATGCAACCATGCCCGCAGTCATCGCTTCTACATGGAAAGCGTTCTCAATCCTGATGCATTTATTGCTTATCCTTGTAGATCCTACAACTCTTTTAAAGCGGTAAGTTAAGTATTTTGCAGTGGAGTTTAATTAGCAAGTCATTTTTTGAACCATGATCAGCCAACGAAAAATTAGTGCTTTGAGTATATGGCAAACAATGCATCTGCCATTTTGGGAAGTAATAGTTTTCTTTCTCTGTGCAGAGTACCGAACGGTAGCAGGATTGCTGAAGGGCTTAAATAACTAAACCAACTATTTGTATTCTGGTTGTTTCAGCTCTTTTGAAGATTATATCCAATTTTGTGTTTGGGGCCATTTGTTATGCAGTAATTAGATGCTACTGTGTAACAGGCTGAAGTCCAGGGCAAACATTTTTCTGTGTATATATTTTAAAGATTTTATTTATTTATTTGACAGACAGAGATCACAAGTAGGTGGAGAGGCAGGCAGAGAGAGAGAGAGGAGGAAGCAGGCTCCCCATGGAGCAGAGAGACCGATGTGGGGCTCGATCCCAGGACCCTGGGATCATGACCTGAGCCGAAGGCGGCTTTAATCCACTGAGCCACCCAGGCGCCCCTGTGTATATATTTTAAATGTCATCTTCAAAGATGCCCCGAGAAGGCTGAACCAATCAATAGCTACAACCAAACATATTACTATTTACTTGGAACGTGAAAATTATTTTATTAAAATTTAATTATTTATACAGAGCCGAACTAAGGCACAGATATCTCACAGGAGCTCCACACAGATCAATAAGGGACAAAATACCAAATCTGATTTTGCTTGAGTCATAAAGCGCACGGTGCCAGATCTGAACTAAATGTATTTTTCATTTTGTTATCACTATGAAAAGGAGAAAGAAAATCTATTTTGTAGTGGGAAGTGGAAAGATTTTCCTTCTTATGCTTCAGAGACCTAATTCCCTCTTTGATCAGGGTAGAAAATGTGGGGTTTTCAGCTGGAGTTTATTGTAAGTAATAGCACTTTGAGACTAAAGTGCTGTTGGGATAAGAATAAGCCGTTTCTGTCCTTTTAACCAGAGCAAGGTGACTGGATACCCTGTGGCCACCTTCCTCATCTCCGGAGCCAACTGCTCTTACCCATGGCACGCCCTGGTGAACTGCTCAGGAAGCTTGCCAGCCAAACCCTGGCATTTCCCCAGTAACCTTCTTCTGCTCTGCCTCCTCTTTCTTCTGGCCCCAAATGCTGCTCTGAGTAGCTAAAGAGATCTTGGCACTTACTCTACTAAAGTCAGGTAGAAGCCCTCAGAGGCACAGGATGGTCAGATAGAATGGGCTACAATTTGCAAGATGGGAGAAACTTAGACACCTGTGCCACATGGATACTAATTATGGCTATAAACTGGAGAACACGGAGTCAATTTCCTTGACATGTTTTATTGTGCTTCTACCCAAACAGTCGTAAAAAGGAAGTGAAATGAAACAAATAGAACAGAATGAAATAGAATAAAATGAAATGAAATAAGATAATAAAATAAAATAAAGTAAAATGAAGGAGGAGTTCAAGTATTGGGCTGTCTGGTTCACACCCTTGCTCCCTCACTTACTAGACATGCATCATTGGACAAATTCTTCAACTGCTCTGCACTTTGGTTTCCGCATCTGTTAGATAGGGAGGCTGAAAGTACTGTAATAATAAAGAGGCTTATGAGTACTAATTAGTTAAACACATACAACGTGCTTAAAAAGTGCCTGGCACATGGTAAGCACCTAATAAATATGAGCCCTTTTATTATTGTGATAAGTTTTCTTTATTAAAAATAGAGTTTTACATGGGATGCTTTACTATAATCCTAGCCTAAATGTCCATGGTTTATATATCCGTAAGTTCAAGACCTAAAATAACAAATATTAAAACACTGCTACCCAGATTTTTTTAAGTTAACATTTTGTTGTGTTTTTTTTTTTTTAAGATTTATTTATTTATTTGAGAGAGAGAGAATGAGAGAGAATGAGAGAGAGAGATTGAGCATGAGAAAGTGGGAAGGTCAGAGAGAGAAGCAGACTCCCTGCCAAGCAGGGAGCCCAATGCGAGACTCTATCCCGGGACTCCAGGATCATGACCTGAGCTGAAGGCAGTCGCTTAACCAACTGAGCCACCCAGGCATCCCCATTTTGTTAGTTTTGCTTTAGATCTTAGAATGCACAGACAAAATTTCATTCCCTTTCATTCCCTTCACGCCCTCCCCTGAAGCAGGGTTTGAGGTGAATCCCATATGTATGAGATTAATAGCATCATACTGTATCTTTCTGGATTTGCTTTTTTGTTGTTGTTAAATTTTAGAATTGAGATCTACATTGATATATAGAGATCTGATGTATTTATTTTCTAGGAATCAGTCACAATTTATTTCTTCACTCCCCTACCAGCAAGCATGTTGGTTGCTTCCAGGGTTAGCTATTAAAAGCAGTTCTGGGGACAGCTGGGTGGCTCAGTGGGTTAAGCCCCTGCCTTCAGCTTGGGTCATGATTCCAGGGTCTTGGGATCGAGTCCCACATCGGGCTCCTTGCTCGGCAGGGAGCCTGCTTCTCTCTCTGCCTTTCTGCCTGCTTGTGTGCTCTCTCTCTCTCTCTTTCTTTCTGACAAATGAATAAATAAATAAAATCTTAAAAAAAAAAAAAAAAGCAGTTCTGCAGTAAACACTTCCATACGTCTGCCAGTGTGCTTGTGTGGAAGCTTCCTTATGGTGTGTAATACAAGTGAAATTGTCAAAGCATATGTACATTTCTGTCTTGTTTAAAAGATTTTATTTATCTATTTGAGAGAGAGAGAGAGAGCGCAAGCAGAGGAAGGAGCAGAGGGAGAAGGACAAGCAGAGCCCCACAAGGGGCTTGATCCCCCCCACCCCAGATCACGACCTGAGCTGAAATCAGGAGGCAGACACTTAACCGACGGAGCCACCCAGCCCCACATTTCTGTCTCTATTAGACAAGACCAAATTGCTTTCTGCAACGTTTGTCCATTTTACATTCTCATCAGGACCAAGCGAGAATTCCACACGTCTTCACCACTACTTGGTGTTGCACATTGTTTTAATTTCTGCAGTTCTGCTGCGTAAGAAATTGTATGTTGTTTTCATTAGTGCATTGCTGACAACTTGCAAGATTGAGCAGCTTTTTACATCGTTATCCTCTTCTGGGGGTTATCTATTCATAGCATTTACTCATTTTTCTAATAGGCCATTTCCCCCCGCCCTCGGTTGTTTTTGTTTTATTTTGTTTTGTTTTTGGAAGACAGGGTAGCCTACTGGGCAACTTAGTCATTTTTAAATGCATATGCTTTATTTAAATGTCAAAGATTTATTATAGTTTAATAATGTATCTAGAGTTTATTGAAGGCCAACATTTCTAATTACATTTCTAACCTACCTCTTCTTTTCTGTCCCCAGGGAGATTGCTTCCATTGTCCCAAAGAAGGTTGCCCAACAATGGGTCATTTTGCTGATAGATTTCACCTCAAAAATATGCAGCCTAATAGATCATATTATTTTTTAAGCACTGGGTCTCTTTCCCCATTTGCCCGTAAGTATTGTAGCTCAGTTTTTTTATTGTCATGCTTTAAGGTACTTATTGTTAAAAATTCAACAGTTTTTACTGAGTGTCTACTAAATCACTGGGCACCGGGCCAGAAGCTGAGGCTGCAGTGAGGAAGCAAAACAGTGAGTACAGACTAGAGGGGAGTTTTAATCCTGGGTAATAAACGTTCTGATAATAGACGTGCAAAGGAGGGACGTCCATAACCAAATCAACAGAGCTTCCTGAGGGAAGGTGATTTCTAAGCGGATTCCTGAGAGAGGAGTCAGAGGGAGAAGGAAGTGGGAACATCCAAGCAGAAGGAACAGCATGGGTCAGTGTCTGGAGGTGAAAGACAGTGAGAGAAAGAAGAACCCCCTGCTGGGACCACAGAGACCCCGAAGAGAGTAATACGAGATGAGGCAGGAGACGTAAATTAAGTCAAATAATGAAACATGTGCCATATAGGGAGTTTGGACTTTATCTATAGCTCCTGGAAGGCCACCAAAGGGTGTTAAGATTATCAGACTGGTTTCTTAAAAAGTCATTCTAGTTGCTGCATGGATTAGAGGGAGACAAGATGGAGGCAGAATGACCTGTTAGGACAAGTGTTTCCTCACCACCATGGAAGGTGATGGATGGAAACTAACTTCGTGTGCGATTCATTTCACAATATATCATTAAGTGTGTATTGCGGTCACGGTGTACATATCCATAATGTTTATATCTCAATAAAGCTGGACAGAAAGGTAGGAGATGGGGAGAGAGTATGGAGATGGGAGGTAGAAACCCAATGAACCTGTGAATGGATGTGAGGGATACAGAAAGCCGAGAGGTCAAGGATGATTCTGGCTCACTGGATGTTCTATTCACTGAACTTGATGGCACATGAAGAAAAACTGGCTTAAAGGAGTTAATGGGCCCAGTTTCTAACTCACCAGGTTTTGCGATGCCTTGGGATGGAGGGGGAGGATGTGCTCACAAGGCAGTCAGATATATGGGCGACTGATGTGATCTACAGAGACTTGAGAGGTACACCTGTGTGTAGACAGCCATCAGAGCTGTGGAGGCGGGTGATGGAATTACCCAAGAAAAATGTGTCAGATGAGAAGAAAGAGAGCAGAGAAAGAGATCCTGAGTTAAAGTGCCGATGCCGACCCTGGGAGCCTGGGAGGGGGTTTCCATGTGGAGGTGGCAGGGTGTGGGCTGCGGAGGGAAGAAATCTGGCAACAATTAACTCAGGAATTGAAAATTCTCTCTGGAGGCTTTTCTCCTTTTAGACCTTTTTCAAACAATTTTAGGAAGAATTGCACTTTCCCCAATGTGTTCTTAAGCATACAATTTCAGAATTCACAATGAACGATGTGTTTCGTTCCAGGTTTTGTAAAAGTGACCCTTGGCCACTTTCAAGGGATTTGTCCTGTGTGTGGGCAGGCTTTGTGCTGCCCCCAACCTGGGCTAACTGAACATTCCGAGTGCAGAGCCTGGTGGGATGGGAAGAGACAACTCACTTTACCTCCCAAGACCCTCTTGCTCGCTAGGTTCTCTAGATTTATTCTGGACGAGTTGTCAAACCATGGCCAGTCAAAACCCAGCTCAGCAGAGTGCACATGCTGCAGGGTACAAGTGTAGCAGACAAAAGAAAGCTCATGCTTCCATTTTTAAAAGTCATAAAAATGCCCAGAAGATTAAAGGATTTTCTTTAAAGAATATCATGATACTATTTACTTTCATAAAATGAAAACATGTACATGTATATGTCTTTTTAAATGTAGCTTTTCACCAAAGTCACTCAAGCTATATAAAGTTGTGCTTTTTCGTGAGCAAGAACAGCCACGTTCAAGGCTGAGAGTTGCATTGACATCTGAGTGCCCAGGAGGTCATGCTTTTCACATGTTTTCACCTCTTCATTTTCACTCTTCTTTTTTTTAATTTCCAGGTTGGAGGCACAAATTGTCTGTCAAACTTGATGGAAACAACGTCACTCAAGGGACCCTGTTTCTCCGTGTAGGTGGAACAACGGGGAACACGGAGGAGTTTGTGATGGCCAGGTAGGCAGGGGCCAAGGACAAGGAAGCAGCAGGTGGCACAGTGCTGGGCACTCGCGCAGACTGGCTCAGTCAGCAGCTCACTCTTCTGACAGTGGAATGGGAATGCCACGGGCTGCCATTTGACTCTTTTCACTTCCGGCTTTCCAGATGTAAAAATAGAAATCATAGGCACTCTTTTCTCTGCAGTTCCACCTACAAACAGAAGAGGTTGGAAAACAATAGCATAAAATTATAGATCTAGATAATAGAGTAACTGGACAACAAACAAGAGTTATTATCCAGTCCATTAACATTATGCAAATTGGAGTGTATGTTTTTGATTGTATAGATTCAAATTACTTATGGAATAAGACATTTGTATAAATGGCCAGATTCCTAATAAGCTGTCTGAGTAGCACCCACAGACATAGGACAAGTGTTGAAATAGTCAAAGGTGGGAGTAATTCAGCAGAGACATTCACTGAGCCTTTACCTTTGGCTAAAGTCCCCTTTTATCTTGAGTTTCCTTTCGTCTTTTCTTTGGTCAGCCTTAGCATTTTTGTATTAGAGATTTCATTTAACGTTGTTTAATTCTGCAATCCGTTTCAGAATTAAGGTTATGCACACTAATTAGATGCTACCTTTTTGCAAACCAATGAATGGATTAGATTTTTGCCTCTTTACTTTCCATCATCTTCAAAGAATGGGCAGAGGCATGATAAACAAGAGGTTTCTGTGGTTATTTTGTCAGTCGAAGGATGGGGTAGGTTAATCATTCTGGCCCTTTGTGCACACCCTCTTGCCTCAGCAGCCCTACCTGCAGCTGTGGGTTCAGTCGGGGACCCTCTGGCCCCTGGTGAATGCACAGGCTCCAGCCCACCTTTCCATCCCCATCTCCCACTGTCTGGTGTCTGGTTCGTTGGTCTTCAACTCAATCAGGTTACCCTGACTGCAGTACTTAGCATTGACTAGATCCACCTTTTCCTCTCTTCCTGACTTCACTCATGCTGTTCCTCTGTTCCAGGTACCCTTCCCTATCCTATCTCATTTTCCGTGATCTTCATGTCTCCATGAAGCTAGTTCTCTGGAAGCCGTTCAGTACGATCGATTGTGTGCCTGCGGCTCTGAGGCCCACAGGCCCATAGCAAGGCTAGGTAGTTTGAGCCCTGCACAAAGGCCTCTGACCTGGGACAGGGGGGAACAAATAGGCAGTTCCCACCCACCTAAAAATTTGCAAGAATATTTTGGGGCACCTGGGTGGCTCCATCGGTTGAGCATCTGACTCTCGGTTTTGGCTCAGGTCATGATCTCAGGGTCACGAGACAGAGCCCCACGTGGGGTTCTGTGCTCAGCGGGAGTCTGCTTGAGATTCTTTCCCTCTGCCCCTAGTGCCTGTGAGCACTCTTTCTCAAATAAATAAAATCTTTTTTAAAAATTGTAAGACTACTTTGACGTCTCTGCATTTCTTTTGCAAATATCTAAAGAAGGAGTTTACCATCTGGTTGCATAGTCACCAATCTTCTTTTAAGAATAATTCTTAAATTATTATAAACCCTGTGGCTTCTATGTTAGTCATGTGGGCTTCTAATGGCACTGCTATGAAGGTCCGCACAGTAGGTCCACTGAGCCAAGTCAGTTCAAAGAGCAACAGGGAGATTATCCCTAAGAAGCTGGAAGGAAAGTTGCCTTCTGATAATTAAAGCAATTAATTCTATATAAAATAGAGTAAGACAGGCCCTAGGAATAGCAACAGTCATTCATTCACTCAACAAACATTTAAATGCCCACTGTGTGCCAGGAATTGTTCTGATTGCTGAGAATACAGCCACAGGTCCTGTCCTTGTGGGGCTTATCTTCCAGGGAGAGGAGCTAGACAATACATTAACAATGGAAAAACGAAGCAGCAGGAATAGGGAAATCACATCTGGTCTAATTTTGGCTAGGGTAAGATGTGCCTTATGCATCAAGAGAATCCATTTCCCTCTGCTCTGTTGCCATGCTCTGGATGACTACCTTGGTTACGTGAATCTTTTCGTCCAGATAAAGAAGTTACCAGGGAGAGAGTCGGAGGACATTTTGATTAATAAAAAGAAAGCATTTCCCCATTGGGAACAGAGAGATCAGTTTTCTGTGAATTCAGCTCCTCCTAGACAGCGTGATCATTTCCTGGTGTCAATAAAATCTAGTTTCTGAGACTCTAAAGCCAAAACCAGACCTTTCATTGTGGAGATCCCATCGAGATAATGCCTCTCTAGGCATTCCCCAACGTCAACTAGTCAAGCTTCCCATTTCCCTCGCCCTTCCTTTCAAGCTTCAGAACGCTGGTATTCCAAGACGCTGATTGACGTGAGCGAAAAGAGTAAATCTCTGTGAGCAGATGCCAGCAGCCACGACTTTCTCTCTCATCGTACACACAGATGCGGCTCCACTTGAATATTGAGAATACCCGGTGTGAGCTCATGAGTCTTATCTTTCTGTTTACAGTGGAACACTGAAGCCAGGCATGACTTACACAAAATTAATTGATGCAGACGTTAATGTTGGAAGTGTTACAAATATTGAGTTCATTTGGAAGGAACATTTGTTTGGGCATTCTCAGAATAAGTTGGGAGCAGAGGTGGTAAAAGATATATCTGGAAAATATGGATATGAGTAAGTATTACCTTTTCCCTTGAATTTTCAGACAAACTTTTTAAATTTTTAATGGTATTTGAAACCTCCGTAGAATTTGAAATTTGCAACTTGTGTAAAAATTTGTACATCTTAACATTTTATAATTAAAGAAAAGGAAACTTATTTAAGAAATAAACATTATATTTGTAAAAGTGTTTACAAAATAATAATTACTCATTCAATTAGATCTACCATGTGTCTTTTGCCCCATAGAGTCATTTTAATATCCTTTTGTTTTCCTTGAAAATTTTTCAGATCTACCTTCTGTAGCCAGGATATCATGGGACCCAATATTGCCCAGATCCTGAAACCATGCTAAATTCAGATACAGTCTTGATGGATTTATTTAATGGAAGTGATGAAAGAAAGAATCTTCTGGTTGGTATCTGAACCAAAGTAGACCATCATGAATGAGGTAGAAAAGTACAGTTGTTGCTGTTTTCTACATAGAATGTTTTTCTCCTTGACAAGCTTTGTAAGGGCCTTGAAAACAGACTGAGTCCTAGGACAGAGTATAGTATGGTCATATGCAGGAACGCGGGTATCAGTGCCAAAATAAAGCTGTGTTGGAATTTCCCTGAATGAGATGACGTGATGCCAAAGTGTCATGGTATAAATTCACTGGGCAAAAGTGAGACACTGCCTGGTGAGTACTTGAGGTACATTTTGAGTATTTCCAGGTAGAATAAGCATTATTCTAGAATGATTTAAAGAATATTTATTATGTTGTTAATCTTGCTAAGACAAAGTAAGGCTATGGTTCATGGTATGTAGATGATAGATAACCCTGTGGGTTGATATGTCTATGTATTAATAATGAAAACCGATGAGAATACATTAGTATTTCCAAGGTGTTCCTTGTCTTCAAGTGTGTGTGAAGTAAAAGAAATTCAGGGGCTGATCTGTGATATGTCCAACACTTGGCAATAGTCCCTGAGAATCATCAGCCCCTTCTCTGGAGGCCTCCTGCTCGGAGAAAATGACTCCTCCTCTCTGGGCCTTGAAAGCCCCATTGCAAGTTTGCATTTGGCCTAAAGGCAGCGTTTCATTTGTAATGCCCCTGACTGTCCCTTTGTGTTTGTAATAATAATCCTGTAATATTTAAATGTGTCCATTTTTTAAAGCTTTGCTTCAGTTTTTTGTAATTCAATTGTCTGTATCCAGTGCAAATCAAAGATGACTGTTTTTATCTGCTCTGTTTTCTAATGGGCTTAGTGTTTAGCCCACAGCACTGTACTGTAAATGTTGTTGAAAGGAAATGCTGTAAAAGCCTCTGCAGGAGTTTTCTTGATTCTCCTTGGTGCCTTGCCGCCAAGTGGACCTCAAGAAGAGGCCCCTGGATGTACTTAAACTTGTGTTGGGGCAGAAATCAGAGAACCAAGTGGGGTGTCTCTTTCCCATCGTGCAAGTGGGAGATGGAAGACTGATTGGAGCATGAGACTCAGTGAAGGAGGAAAGGAGATGCAGACACGTTTGGCATGAACTGGCTGGTTGTCTACTCTCTGGTGGGTGTGTCAGCCCAAGGCCTAGGCCAGCCCAGGAGCAGGGTGGCCATGAGCAGCCCAGGGGAGGGTCCGAGTCTCTGAGTCCTACTAACAGTGTGGCAGGCCAACCCCCTCTGCAGCCTGGCAGTGGAGAGGGCCCCATCTCTCTGGGGGCAGGACACCTTCCTGTGCCAGCAGCTGTCCTGACCCTCCACTGTTCTCTGCCCAGCCTTTCTCTGTGTTTTTTTTTTTTTTTTTTGAGAAGGGCTTGGCTACCAGCAGGAAGCTCCACCAGCAGCACCAGGCTCTGTGAGTCCTGGCCTGCCTCCTTGCCCAAGAGGCCTCTTGGCTGGCTCTTTCTAAGCTTGGAAAGACAAATGGGAGTCAATTAACTTCTGGCAACCTATTTTAATAAAACACAAACTTTTTGTTCCATAGGTCTTACTGTCCTTTTTTTTTTCCCCCCGCATTGTAAGAATGTCATGAGGATGAAAAAGTGTGCATGGCCTATCTAAGCAGAGGGATTCTGAAAGTATAGAATGATGACATTGTTTTCCATGTGTTTGTTCCCTGGGAAAGCACTGAAAAATGATGCCCCTTCTCTCTCCGTGCCCTGCATTATGGTCACTTGGTATTTTGAACCAGCAGATGTTGGGGCAAGTCCTGCTCCTTGCATGGACCGCCATTAATGCTGATGAGTGACTTCAAACCCAGTGGGCTGTTGACTTCCTCCACCTCTCATTGCCATTGATTCACCCATACCTTGTCATCCTGTCACCCCAAATGCTCACCTTCAAACCTGTTCGGTTTTACCATACTCCTTCCCATTTATATTTCAAATTGTTGAACATATGTACAGTATCCACTGTACAAAGATTAACAATAATCATTTTCTTAAGTAGGTTCCATGCCCAGCGTGGAACCCAACTCAGGGCCTGAACTCATGACCCTGAGATTAAGACCTGAGCTGAGATCAACAGTCAGACACTTCACTGACTGAGCACCCCCAGGCGGCTCCAACAATAATCATGTTTAAATGAACTTAAGATTAACTAAAAAAAAATTAACGGTAATTCCTCAATATCCTCTTATATTGAGGTAGTTTTGAAATTTCCAAGATCGCCTGAACAGTGTCTTTTGGCAGTGAGTTTTTTAAAAGTGGGAGCCAAGCAATATCCCTATAGGGCCTCTGACTGACTCGTCCCTCAGTCTCTTTCCACCTGTGACAACTCCTCTGCTCCTTCCTGCACACCAGTTATTAGGTAAACCCGGTCACTTGTCCTGGGAATTTCCTCACATGCAACTGCTGCAACCCTCTTGGTCTCACGTCAAGCATTTCTCCATCCTGTGTGCTTCCTGTAAACCAGTTCTTTGGTCGAGAGACGTGACAAGACCTGGGTTCCTCCACATTGGGCATTGGGAATTGAGCCCCTTGTAGGTCTCTCGAGCTCACTCATGCTCTCTCTTTCCACTTAAAGAGTAGTGTATGTATTCGCACCTTATAAAGCTGGAAGGGCTATACCAATGAGAGTTGTGAGTAGAAGAGAACGTTGGATGGCTTGGAATCTGGTTAACGCGTCAGGCTAAGAGGAGAAAGTGCCCACAGAAGGGTTTGCTGGCAAGAGTTTGTGCTCTGGGGAGAGCAGACAAGGGAGCCAATGGCGTGTGAATATCCATTATGGAAAAGCCATTGAATTCTGCGTTCTGTCTGGGGCTAGAGGAGGTAGACAATAAAGGGTCCTGCAAAGCTGAGGAAGACTCAGATACCCGGCTGTGACTCTCCCCAGGCTCCTCAAAGATCGGAGTGGATAATAGGAATTACCCCGCTTTCTAGAGCTCCCAGGTTTTGTTGACTCTGCAAGTGTCCAGAGTAAGCCCAGGGCCTCAGGAACAGAAACATATGCCAAGTTATTGTTTCGCAGCCTCTTAAAACCTCAGCTCATGTTTAATAAACATAAAAATCTCATGTTTCTCCTGGGGCCTTTTCTACTCCACTTGGGAAAAATCAATCTTTTTTCATATACTTTCTGACTAAAAAGATTTTGTAAATCTTTACTTTCTGTAGATCGTGTAATAAAAATGATAGGCGTGCTTTGTGTTATGCTTTTCTTCCCCCCTCCAAATACGTACTTATAATACCGGATGGGCTTCCTTATTTTACATGTGCGGCTCTAAAAGTTCTGCTGTGAATGATTTAAGTCTTAGGAGAGTGGAGTGTCTACTAGATTTCATGCCAATATGAGAGGCTGCATACCTGGGTCGACTGAGCCAAAGATTGGAGGCCAATGTTTTCTTCCTTGGGCAGCCTATTTTCTATATTTGCATTTTGCAAACATTTAGTCTTGACTCAGTCGCGTACTTTTTTCTTTCTTTTCGTAGGACGTTCTTTCATTCATTCATTGAACACACATTCACTGAGTTATCCTGTTTTTCTCCTGTGCTGGGCATTGTGTGGAGTAATGAGGTTTTACATGCAGAACACAAGCTACCCCCGCTCCCGCACTCTGCACAGCACCGAGCAGGAAAAGGATGCAGGGAAGGAAATCCTTGTTGAGAATCTATCCGGGCAAGCACTGTGATCGAAGCAGGCACAGAGAGATCAAAGCAAAGAAAATACTACTCTTCTCACCTTCTTCGCTCTCTGCTCATTGATCTCGTGTGAAAGTGATACTAGCAGACTGAAATCAGGCATTTTTCATTTCTGAAATCTGTGGTTGGGGCACCTGAGTGGCTCAGTGTGTTAAAGCCTCTGCCTTCAGCTCAAGTCATGATCCCAGGGTCCTGGGATCGAACCCCGCATCGGGCTCTCTGCTCAGCCGGGAGCCTACTTCCGCCTCTCTCTCTCCCTGCTTCTCTGCCTCCTTGTGTTCTCTCTCTGTCAAAAAAAAAAAAAAAAAAAAAAAACCAAACTTTGAAATCTGTGGTCACCACATACGTTCTCACAAGTGATTCCATTTTGAAATTTGAATCTGTTGACTATGTGCTATGGCCAGAGGAGCAGTCATTTCCTGGAGGGTCCCAGACAGAGGGAGCAGAGGCCAAGCCCAGTGGATATAAGATGACACCACCCAGAACGTGACCAACACACTCACCTCAGGCTCATCTGTGACGCACTCCAATGGCCCTGAGCCAATGGCAGAACGATGCCCACTGGTCATGAAAACAGATGGAATAACCAAGCTTCAGCCCATCGTTTCTCAACAACCACAGGAAACCTCACACTTCAAAGAATTTAAGATTAGAAATATGTGAGTATGTGGCAAAAGAGATTACCACTTGAACACTCATCACACAAACAGCAGTAGGCTACGCTTTGCACACCGTTCATTGAGGTAAGACTTTCAGGCTCTTTGTTTAAGTAAAAGCTCCATCCAAATCATTATTCCACATGCAAGTGTAAGAAAAGGGAAATTTAGTGACTCCCTTCTGGCCTAAAAATGCAAAGACATGTGTATTTATTGCTTCTGGAGAAAAGAAAGGAATTTCAATTTTGTTCGCACAACAAAACGTATTTAAGTCAACCAGCTAGAATGAGACCTTTTTCAAAGAGGGTTACTTTCTCAGGTGTTTTGCTTACAATGTTTTTACAATGTTTTTACTATGCACAGTGCCATTTGCTTTCTCTGTGAAGCTGAAGGGAAAATGCAACATTATCTGTCTTATTGACAGATGTTTCTTTTACGGACACTGACAAAGGCTGGTGGATTTTCGGGACCAGAAACTGGTTATCACAGAGGGGAGACGGGCCCAGGGAGTCCAAAACACACAGCATGGAAAAGGCAAAATGCAGAAGACACATGGAACATGGGACACACTATTTCATACCAACAGGGCA